CTGCCTTCTATAGTCCCAGCCAGTAGGCAGTGATCTAGCTGCAGCTCTCAGAGACATGTCAAGGCAAAAGTGAACAAAACAGCATTTATTGTATACTCTTATGAATGGCCTTCTTCTCACTTAGAGAGAGCCTTCTGCTCTGAATCTTGGCCCTGCATCTCAACTGATGTCCACTTCACTTTCCTTTCCATTTCTTTCTTTCTTTCTTTTTTTTTTTTGAGAGATTTTCGCTATAGGGCGCGTGCGCTCTCCAGACAGACAGAGACACAGAGACAGAAAGCGAGAAATCACCCCTCAGGGAGGATGGTCACGCTGCAATCCTTTCTCCTTCATTCTCCTCTTGGGATCTTGGGCACGCACACACACGTGCCCGGCTTGAGTTTTAAGCCACTGGGTCCGGGACGCAAACCACAGTCGACTATGTGGGAGTCCAGCGACATAGCCATTACGCTAACTGCTGGTTCCCCCCCTTTCCATTTCTTTATGACTAGCCACACACCCTTAAGGCCTCAGCTTCCAGGACAGCCTCATTTCTCAGAAGGAGTATCATAACCTGAGGTTAATAATAGCTGAGCTGATCCCCTGAGCAGTCACTTGTGTAGAGGAAGAGTTGGAGGCTTGATTGGTCTCCGTAAATTTCATGTAACTTCTCAGGAAAGTGCATGAGTCTGTCAGTGAGAACACGACCACTGGAATTTCACTGGATCAGAACCGGCTCTAAAGAAAACGCTGTATATCCCTCTGGTCCCTGGATAGAGATGATCCATCTTTGGACCAACACACTTGGCAGTTGAGGTCTCAGAGTATGTGTACCACACTGTGGCTTTTCTGTGATGCTTAAAATATTCTAAAGTCCTGGGGACCAATGGCATGGTGGTTAAGGGCACTGGACTACCACATGGCCAACCATGGATCAAGTCCTGGACCTGGAGGCTTGCTTTCTCAATTTTCAGTACTTAAAAAAAATATTTTAAAGTCCTGGAACAGTATACACAAATGCTGCATTTTAAAAAGTATCAGAGCAAACATTTTGCATAATCTATGCATTGAACCTTTAATGCACTACTAGAAACCTTGCAAAGAGAAAGCCTTACACTGCGTGCTCTGTCTTTGTTAGGTGGTGGTTTGGGGCGAGTGCGACTCCAGTGATGACTGCATCGAGCACAGCATCGGCCCCTGCTCTTCGGTCTTGGATGTGGGTGGGGCTGTGACAGCTGTCAGCGTCTGCCCAGTGCTTAGCCCTTCCCAACGGTCAGTCTCTGTGTGGGGCTTAGTTGTGTTTTCTGTAAGACAGTGCTTGGTTTCTCAATATGTGGCTCTCTCTATCCTTTCACTTATGGGTTCTCTTCACTTCTGAGTTGCTGTTTTTTTCCAAAATGTTTCTCTTAAGAACTTTTTTTAAAGAGAGATTTTTTGCTGTAGGGTGTGTGTGCTTGCTAGAGAGAGACAGACAGACCTAAAGTGAGAAGTAACCCCCCCGCCCCGCCAGGGGTTAGCCACGCTGCCGTACCTTCTCCTCTGTTCTCCTCTCGGGATTTTGGGCACACACGCACATGCACCCGGCGTGAGTTTGGAAACTGCCAGGTCTGAGACTCGAACCATGGTTGACCAATTGGGCGTCCAGCAATATAATCATGCCATCTGCTGGTTCCATCTCATAAGAACTTTTAAATTCCCAAAAATTCATAATATCCATGATTTGGAAATGGTGAAATAGTGTGACTCAAAGGTTTTTATTTCACCAGTACAGGACTGTAGAGCCTTCTGTGTGACAAACATCTTCAGTAGAATAAGGGTCCTTGCAGCTAACTGGGGAAGCACTGGCTTTGCTAGCAGAAGACAGATGAAGCAGAGTGTACCCTCTGTAGAAAGGAGGTTCCTGGAGGACACAATAGAGGAACGTAGTGTGTCCTGGGCTGACACCTTCAAACTAGACAGTCCTTTATAAGCCAGGGACAGTTGGGACACTGAAAAACTACAGTAGAGTAATGATTGAGATAACAGAAGTTTGTGCTCAATTAATCTCTGTTATCCTCCCTTTCTTAAAACAGATATGTGGTTGCCATAGGATTAGAATGTGGAAAGATTTTTTTATATGCCTGGAAGAAGACTGACCAAGTTCCAGAAATAAATGACTGGACCCACTGTGTAGAAACAAGTCAAAGGTATTTTCTTTCTATATTTGTTTCTATCAGATGAGATAGAAATTGTGGGGTCTTCAGTGGCGAATTGTATGCCACATTCTTAAGGGGAAGGACAGTCATCACTGTTCATGGTGTTTACCACTGAGTAGTACCTCTTTTTTCTGTGGTAATCCCTTGAAATCGATGTTTATTATATTACACTTGGTTTTTTAACAGTTTGCTCGACCAAAGTGCTTGTTTGTATAATAAGGTTTTTGCCAACAACAACCATTTAGATGAAACGGATTTACATAATGATATTTTAGAATTTGACTCTAATTTTTTTTTTTGAGAGGTTTTTGCCTTAGGATGTGTGCATTCACTGGAGAGAGAGAGAGAAACAGTGAGAGAGAAAATGAGAAATCACCTTCCAGGGGGCTTGAGAAATCACCTCCCAGGGGGCTTGACAACACCACAGTCCCTCCTTCTCCTGGGATCTTGGACATACACACACATGTGCCCAGTGTGATTTTTCAAGCCACCAGGTCCAGGACTTGAACTGTGGTTGGCCATGTCAGAGCCCAGCGATATAACTGCTACATCACGCACTGGCTCCTACAGTAGATTCTTAATAAAATTTGACTCAAAGTGTTTATGCGTTGTGGAAATATTATAGATTATGCTTTGATAGCTGCATCCTCCTGATTGGACATGTAAGCTCAGATTCCATAATGGAGCACACAGCCAGTGTTGCTGAGCCTCATGACCTGGGTGTGAGCCTTTGTGAGCCTTTGTCTCCTGAGCAGCTTCCTCTCTAGTCCCAACCCCAACCCTACCGCCTTGCCAGCAGGGGTTATTATTTATTTTTCCTTTTCTTTTTAAATATTTTTTTATTTTATTTATTATTAGTATTTTAAAATTTTGACTAGAGAGAGAGGGAGACTGAGAAAGCAAACCACCAGGTTCAGGACTCAAATAGCAGTCTGCCATAACCATCAGGCCACCTGCCGGCCCAGCAGGTTTATTATTATTATTTTCAATGATTTTATTTCATTTATTATTATCATTTTGTTTCTAATTTGACCAGAGAGAGAGAGAGAGAAGGAGAGTGAGAAAGCAAGCGCCAGGGCTGAGACTTGAACCATGGTTGGCCATATGGAAGTCCAGGGCCTTTAACCACCATACCACCTGTTAGCTCTAGCAGGTATTATTTTTAATCTACTTCATTACCCATTTTATTCTTTAAAAAGTCCAAACTTTCAAAAAACCACTAATATCCTGTGTCATATTTTGTTAGGTTTTGTCAACCTTCATATATTCATATTGTTTTTTTTCTTTTTTTTTTTTTGAAATATTCTTGCTATAGGGCATGTGTGCTCACCAGAAACACAAAGACAGAGAGAGAGAGAGAAAATACCCCCCACAGAGTCTACCCACACTGTAATCCCTTCTTCATTATCCTCTCGGGATTTTGGGCATGCACGCATGCGTGCCTGATATGAGTTCCAAGCCGCCAGGTCCAGGACTTGAACTGCGGTTGACCATGTAGGAGTCCAGCACCTTAGCTACTATGCCACCTGCTGGCCCCTGTACTATTTAAAATATAAGTCAAATACAGTTTCAAGTAACTGTTACCACGATGAGGGTGAATGACTTAATGGTGGGAGATTTGAGAGCACTCTTTTTTTTTTTCTTTTTAAAAATTTATTTTATTTTAACATCTTTTATACATCCAATCACTATACATCACTTATCTTGTACAGTGAATTCTTCCAATATGAATACACTTCACACCAGTCCAGTTGAGGATACTATACACGTTATCATCAGCAGATAATAATCCATTTCCATGTCCCATAAATGTCTTGCCTCTCTGATTTTCTCCTTATATCTTTCTCACACTCTCTTCTTTCTCCCGCCCTCTTCCCACAGTGTATCCAGTATCTGTAACCATTTTCCATGCTTCTATGTACTCTAATCCTTCAGTTTCTACCATAATGTATGGACAGTCATTATATATTAAGGGGAGACATTAAAAAATCATGCTTGTTGAGAGAGAGACTCAGTACCAAAATCCCCCCGTCTTCAGTAGTTTTTACCATAGGTCAGGCACCACCACACCCTCACCTGTTCTTAATTTAGGCTATATTCATATAGTTTTATTATTTTTTTTTCTTTTTTTTTTTCATTTTCTTTTATACATTCAATCACATTATTTAGCTTACAAAATGGATATTTCAACAGGTGAACATTTCTCCCTAGTACAGTTGATAAAACTATAAAATATCTTCAACAGATAATACCACATTTCTTTGTTCCATTAATGCTTTGCCTCCCTATTTTTCTTCTAAATGTCCTTCCTCAGACCCTCCTCTTTCACACACACTATATAAATGTCCTTCCTCAGACCCCTCTCTTTCACACACACTAAATCTGGTATTTACATCCATATACTGTGATTCTATATCCTTTAGTCAATCAGTTTCAGTCATAGAGTGCAGACACTCAGTATATATTAAGTGGGGACATACAAACAGAACACATCTCCCTTTTAGCCAAGCATATTTTACCCCATATAATTGTATGTGTTAAAATGAGATTTTGCCTTTATTACTGCTGTTCTCACGGTTTCTTTCCTACCTCTCTTTAGCAGCTGAAATATTAGGTCGTTGGGAAAATCATGATGTATTTTTTTTTTTAATTTAGACTTATTAATTTGCATTCTTTCGTTGTACATCATTACAGCATACAAAATGAGATTTTCCATCCAGAGTACACTGTATATTCTCTCAATCAAGCACATCAACAAACGTTATTGTCAGCAAATAATTTTCCATTTGTTTTCTGTATGTTTTGCTTTTTTTCTCCCATCCTTGATTCCCTCTCTCTTACCCTCTGCCGTCTCCCACTCTCCTCCCACACTGTCTCTGGTATCTATGTTTGCTTTCTATACTGTTTTCCCCCCACATTTTATTGAATAACTGAAGACCTTAATTAATCTAAATATTTTCATAGCAAACACAGCTGATATATATATTTCCATGAACACAAGTCTAACTTTAGGCATCCTATAAAGTAGCACCTAGCTGGGGCTATATATCTTACTGCAGTCATTGAATAGATATTTTTTTTTGAAACTTTTTT